AAATTCTTGTTCAAGAACACTGATAAATGACTGGTAAAGGAAAGTGTCAAAATCACAACTGTAGTTTTTAACTATAGTTTTGTTTGGCATCAAAGTTTTTTTTTTCTTTCTATTATATTGTCTCTTGTGATACTAAGCAACATCACTAGTTTTGAAGAATTTATTATAAGAATTTGAACTATGTTTAATTTTATGGAATTTTAATTTTTACTTTTATGACAAATTGGAGTCTGTAAAGGAAGAAAATTAAAATTTAGATTACTCTAATAAAATTATTTTAAAGCCCTTGAATATGACTGATCAAAAATAGCAATTTTTTAATATTTATTTTTTAAAAAAAATCAATAAAAAATAAAATAATACTATGCTTAAAAAAAGGCAAATTTTTTTGAAACAAATATTGACAAGGAATTGAAACAATAATTAGCCCAATATGAGCCAGGTATTTTATTTCTACATAGAAAGGGAATCAGAATATGGTACTACTTTGACATAAGCTTATTATTAGTAGACTCCTGAAAGGTAGCATTTTGTGCCTGAAAACAAGTTGGGGATTTCTCTCATGTGCTGGGCCATGTTTATATTAGGTTATGCACGGCAGCATGGCAGTTTATTTTGCAGATGTTCATAATGTACAGTCTTAAATCTTATTTCTATTTCTGGCATGCTTTTAAGTATGACTCATGCTTTCTTGAGGCCATCCTAAAAATACAGCTAGTTTCAATCATTAATGTAAATACACCACAGGCATTACATAGCACTATATAATGCTTTCTTTTAGTATTTTAGTGAAATTTCCTGACAAATTAAATATGGGATTTGTTTGTTTGTTTGTTTTTCAAAATATACTATCCTAAAAAAGGAATAAAGAAAGTAGAATTTTTTATGGAGAAGTGAGTCCTGTGATAATATAATGTACATAACAGAATGACTGACATTTTAATAGAGAGAATAGAATATATTATTGATATCACCAAAAATAAGAGAAATAGTACTAATGGACAGAACATTGAGTCCACTAAAATTTTTGATGTATCCCTGTGGGTCTGCACTTGTAGGGAAAGTCTTGAACCTAGAGGACATAATGACTAGAATGTAGGCTTTAGATTGGAACAACTTGGGTCTAATATTGGTTTAAGGACTTACCAACTGAACAAATGATATTGCCTTTTCAGCTTTGATTTTCTTATTATAAGAAATAATGAGTATTTAACAAACACATAGCACTTACTAGACCATGTTCTAGCTCTGTGAGTACAATTTTTAGGTCCCTTATACAGATGGGGAAACTGCACACAGATTAAATAACTGGATTAAGGTTACACAGCTAGTAAATAGTAGATTTACAATTTGAACCCAGACAGTGTGGCTCAGGTCTGTGTCCTTACACAGATGTAGTCTGTTGCCTCATAGGGTTATTGTGAGATCTAAATTATTTTCTACACTATAGAAGATCATTTGTATTTTTATCTAGCACAGGATAAGAATGCAATAATTTATGGTTATTAGGGCTATTGTTTTGGGGGGGAAGATGAAAGTAGGGACAAATATGGTCATTGTAAGATACACCATAGCCTATAAGATCTGCCACAAGATTAAGAAGCTACTTAGAATTGAAAGTGATGATGAAAGCCTTAGATATCCTGACATCTCCTCCAGGCCTACATAAAGGAAGAACTTGTACTGACTTGCATCCCTAACAATGTCGTCTTGCAACAGGTAGGGGAACTGAGAGGAATGCTTTCTCTGGGCTTAATTGTGACTAATTACAACTCCTTAGCAATGTGCTGGCAATGGAGGCAATTGAGGAAAAAAAAGTCTATTTAGCATTTCTCAATTAGGATGCTATTAACCTTTTGGCAGTATGAGATTATCTTGGACATTTCATTTAGCATCACTAAATATTGGTAGTAAACCAAATTATTCCTCATTGCCTGAAGCTTTGCAACAATTAAAAGTATCCCGAGACATTTCCAGATGCCTTCTGCAGGTATTGGGCTATGGCAGTACTACCATTGGTTGAAAACCACTGTTGAGTGCTAAGAATAAGGGAAGTGGTTGCTGAAAATTGTCAGATATTTCTTAAGCCAGTGGTTCTCAACACACATGAAATGGAGGACACTCTCATGAGCATTCACAGGTCTATACACAATTCCTAGGGTTCTAACTTTAAATAACTCCATGCCTTTCTACATTTGATTGAGAACTGCTGCCTTGGATTTAACACAACCTTGAAAATGAATATAGTTCCAAGATCAAGACATTTAAATAGACTGGAACTATCTAGAACTCAAATAAGACTGTAATTATGAATAGTTACCAATAGTTATAAATAATAAAAGGTGGGAGGAAGCTGAAGAGACCAACTTGGCTTTACCTTTTAGAACTTGGCAAGTTTTAGATTTTCAGTAGTCAAGTCTAGATAATGGAATATCAGGCCCATTGCCAAAGTTGAACACAAAGAGTAACATGAAACTGTGAGAGTAGGGTAAGAAAGCCTGTGGCCATAATAAGCCAAGGTTTGTAAAGTAGGAAAAAATACCCCAGTTTTTAACAATTTATTTGATATTAGAGTAAAAAGAAGTAGTAGCTCTGCAGCATAGGGAAAATTGTGTCATATTACTGATAAAGAATTTAGGGTTTCGTAATTCTTATTTATTTTGTCCTTGAACAACAGGGAGACTGACTTATTTTGAAATAAGATTAGACTGTTTATCACAAAGATGGATAGGAAAAAAATAGTTACAAGGACATCTGTTAGTTATATATGAGGTTAACTCTGTAGATCCAGGTGAATTGAATCCTAATACCAAGAAACTACTTGAAAGAGTTCTCAGAAGTATAAATATTAGAGCAGTGTTTTTCAATCAGTTTTTTATTATGGTTCTTCTAAGGACATTCTTCTCCATCTCAATTTTCTTCTCCAATTCCATGAAATTTTAATACCACAGAGATGTTGTATACCCATTTATGTAAAGGTCCTCCTTTTAGAGGACCACAAGACATTGTAATATCTAAGATTTTTTTTCTCAAACTCTCTTCCAGTAGCTTCCCCTGAAGATGTATGCCCCCATCCATGTCTTAGAGGATTGATAAGACAAAAGAGAAGCCAAGTACCTCCACTTGGGTTGATTTTCAGACATAGAGGAGTTTAATTTGGGGAAATTACAAGATGCTTTAGTTTACTCCAGTGATGTAATAAACCAACCAATCTACCCAAAACCTTTCCCTTGATCTTTCTACCAGGATAAAGAAAACCAGAAAATTACCTTTTCTAGCTATTAGTTTTCTTTGGGAGTGAGGGGCTAATAATGTTGTGCTGTCAGAGCACAACAAAACAAAACCAAACCACTTGCACTCCTATGCAAGCTTTCTTAGTTGGATGTTCAAATTATTTCATGACTTCATTGGATGATTAAACAAAGTTAAAAAAGCATGGATATTCAATATATGCAAAAGAGCATATTATATATGTTTCTCGTTTTATGTATATATAAAATGTAGCATAATAAAACAAACACTGTAGCCCATATCCAATTTAAAAACTAGACTACTACTCATACCATTGTAGCATTCCATGAGAATCTCTGTGATTCCATGCCCACCTCACATCCCCATGCATCCAGTTTCTTGAATTTATCATTCCTTTGCTTTTTGAGCATTGTTTTGTCATGTTATCTCAAAAGAATTCATTTTCTAGTTTGTTGAACTTTATCACAATAGTTCAAATGATTTATTTTGTGGCAGTTTTTCACTCGATATGATATTTTTAAGGTTCAGCATTTGTTGGCATTTTCCCTTATCTGAAATGCTTGGAACCAGGAGTATTTTGGATTTCACATTTTTTAAAAATGTGGAATATTATTTTGGAATATTTGTTTATATCTTAGAGATGAGACCCATGTCTAAACATGAAATTCACTTATATTGCATATATACATTATACACATTGCCTGAAGATAATTTCAAACAATATAGTCCATTTCCATTTTGACTACAGCCTGTCACATGAGATCACATGTGAACTTTTTCACTTGTGGTGTTATCTAGGCACTCAAAAATTTCACATTTTGGAGCATTTAGATTTCAGTTTTTTTTCAAAGTAGGTGATAATTTATTCTGTTTCTGTTCTTTTGTAAATTTTCTATCATGTGTAGTTTATCATTTTCCTTTCCCCAGTTTTATTTCATTTTGAACAATGTTGCTCAGAGTATTCTACATGTCTTTTAGTTGCACAAGGGCAAGAGATTTTCCTATATACCTAGAGATGGACTCTTTGAGTCATTGGGTAGTTTACACATGAACAAACACAATTTATCTGTATTAATTTAAACATTTTCGAACATGTTGAGGTAGAAGATAAGCACATTGGAGCTTATTTAGTAGCAGACTTAGAAGGGTATTGTATGGAGTAGTCTTCTGTTCCCAAAAGAATTTGTACAGAAGAATAGACTTAAATTATAAATTCCAATGTAGTTTTGAATCTACATCAGATTTTCTAGTTGTGGAGTTTGGGAAACCTTAAAAACATTGCTAACTTAAGTTATACTTACTTGTCTCCACATTTTCAAGTCTGTGATAATCATTAATTGAGGTGATTGTTTGTATCTCCCTTTTGGAACAAAAGGGTTAGGCTGTGGAATTGTGGTAAAATAATGATACCAGTTCCTCAAGTTATCCTTGAAAATTACTTTCATTTCTTTACGGAAACTTACAGTTGATTATTCAAATGTTCTTATATGTTTTCACATGTAGGGTATGTGACTTTTTGTGATATCAAAGACTTCGTGCTGTTTTAGCATTGATAATAATAGTTTTATTGTGAAAGAGTAAAAATTTACCAGGTATCTCTATAGTCTCAGTCTCATCTCTTGTCTCATACACAAACACACACACACACACACGTATATTTTAAAATATACAGTCTGCATTGCTCAGAGATTTGTACTAAAAATATTAGTCCAATTTGCATTTCATTTTCTCTTTTTTCCTACTTAAAGTTTCAGACCCTCCGACTCAATCTGTAGTTCAGCATCTAAGATGGATAATGCAGAAGGATCTTCTGGGGCAAGATGTCTTTCTGATAGGACCACCTGGACCTCTTCGACGCTCTATTGCCATGCAATACTTGGTGAGCAATCAATTCTTGTCAATTCATAAAGGTCTTAATTTTCATAATCTATGTAATAAGTAAGTAAGCATTAAGATTTATAAAAATATCAGAATTAATGACTTCCTGAAATACCAGTATCAAAGGGTAATATATAAATGTTTGGCAAAAGTTATTTGGGAAGAAAGTACACATCTACTATGAATGGCTTTAGCAGATTTTTCTGTAACTAGAAAGTCCTCCACTTTAAATAGAAAAGAAGTATAAACCCAGACAAGTAGTGGATAGAACCAGCAAACAAACAACAAACACACTTTAGTTTTAAACTACCCAGTGAACTTTCCTTATCTCAGGTTTACAGCTTAAAAACCCAGTTTCCTTGAATTGATGAAATGATAGTCTTTGGAGGGAATGTAAAGGTTTATAAATCATTTCTAATGTGTTATATGCTTTCTTTTTTTTTTCTTTAACTAGACAAGAACACAAATTATCAGAACTTAATTAGCACATTCTATCTTTATCCAATAATAAATGATGGAGCTCGACTTTAAATCTCATATTGTTTCCCCTTTTTGACATGTTATCCAATGCTAGAGGTTCTTTGAAAACTTTAATAGAATTGAAATGTTTAAATATCAACCCAAATAAAGTTTTATAAGACTTTTCTACAGATTTATCAATGTTAATCGCTTGGCATTGCTATACTGAATCAAGAAAGAATGCCATCAAATGAAGTTGTGCTCTAACAATAGTTTTTAGGATGAAGGGAAAACCATTGTTCAAAACTTCTTTGAATTATTTGGTATTAAAGGATTGGTTTCTATGCTATTGAATTCTACAACATATACTTAATTTTATTTCAGTGGTGAATTTACTTTGGTACTTCAAAAAGCATGTGAGGAAGGAATGATAAAAATACATTGGAAGGGCTGGGGTTGTAACTCAGTGGTTGAGTACTTGCCTGGCATGTGTGAGGCACTGGGTTTGATCCTCAGCACCACATAAAAAAATAAATGAATAAAAACAAAGATATTTTGTCCATTTACAACTAAAAAAATGTTAAAACAATACATTGGACAAGCTGGGCAACAGTGGTACATACCTACAAACAGCTATTTAGAAGGATCACATGTTTGAGGTAGGCAACTTAAAGAGACCTTGTCTCCAAGTATGAAAAAGGCTGGAGGTATAGCTCAGTGGTATAGGACCCCCAGTTCAAACCCCATAAAATGGATAGGTCAGAACCTAATTCTTACTACCCTTAACTTTTGTATCTTACTTATTCCTAGATCCAGTGTGTGAGGCATAACATGCCTTTATAGCATTATCATGTCTTTTTTAATAATGTTATTGTATTTTTTATAACTTTATTTTATTAATTTTTATGTGGCGTTGAGGATTGAACCCAGTGCCTCGCACATTGTTAGGTAAACACTCTGCTACTGAGCTACAACCACAGCCCCTTATAGTCTCTTTATTAACACACATGGTGAAATTGTTTTGTCTAAGAACAGGGGATCAGCTACTAAGAATCCCTCGAAATTTCTGCCTCTAAAGACATTATCTATCTCTTTAATTTTTAGATGTACACTCTCTCCCTTGCTTTTTTCAAAGACAATCTCATTGAGATTTTGATTCTGGCAAGGCTTTGAAGCTTGTTGGGATTGTGGAATGAGAAGGACAAGGAGATTTTAGGGGGGTTGTTGGTTCAAAAATGCAATATAAGTCTGTCACTGTAAAGCCTGTATGTTTGAACACAACCACAACCAAACTTTAAATTGTGAAATACAGCTGAGGCAGCCATATGATGTAGAAATACTCGTTTGAAAATTCAATACTAGCTTAAGCCACCCTGTAAACTGTGCACTGAGTACTATTGTTAGTAGGTATAAGAGCCTTTATTTAGTCATGCCCAGAGTAGATAATATCTTTAGAGGCAGAAATTTGGGGGCAAACCTGAAGAACCAAAGAGAAATAAGTTGATAATTGTCTTTATGTGATATTTAACTCATACAAGTTTTGTAGATTTAAAAACAAACAAACAAAATAAAGCAAAACAAAAGCCCCCAAACAAAACACTCAGCAGACCACTGCTACCTCTTCCTAGTACTGTTGTGGCTTGCTTGGTCTACTGTCATGAAGAAGCACCTGAAGAGACTGTAGTGCTTGTCATGGCTGTCCCAGGAAGCTGTTAAGACTGAGGATAATGATAACATTGTCCTCAGTGTGGCAGTTCAAGGTTTAACTGTGGTGCAATTTAACAATCAGAGGCATACATAGCCTTGTCAACCATTGTGAATGACAGGGTTTTCAGTGAAGGGGATCACATTCAGCCAATGAAAGAAGCAGATATGAAGGTAGTAGTGATATGTTCCAGAAACAGGAAGGAGGTTATCTGCTAAAAAGAGAAACTGGTACTTTCCTCCAAAATTGGATCTCACAGACAATTCATTTGTATTTAGGAAAATGTTGTTTGGTAACACCACATCTTTATCACTGTGCTGTATGTATTCTATACTTAAAAATGTTTCCTCTTTTCCATACATACTTAAAGTTATAGCAACATGGGAACAAGCACACTTTAAAAATGGAATGAAAATAATGATGTATTTTTTGCTAATATAAAAATAGAATGCAGAGAAAAAGTTACTTTCTGTGGTAGTAAGCCTTTATGCCATCAGTAACATGTTCATTCAACTTTTTCCTTTATTCTCTGGTAAATTAATTTGTTTTCCCTGTTTAGTAAAGACTTATTAAATCTCTTATTTGACTGGAAAATATCATTGTTTTTAATTCAAGGATAATGCAAGGGTAATGTTAGAGGTTTTTTTTTAAATCTTGATGTTTGTTCTATATCAGACATAATGAGTTTGAATGGATAAATTATTTGGAAAGAAATGTATTCTGGATGATTTTCCCTTCAATCATATGATGTTTTGGTAAAATGATTCCCCCCACTCATTCCTCTCCGTCTCTCCTCTCTCCTCCTCCTTTTCCTCGTCTTCCTCCTTCTTTTTTCATCTCCTTCAGCTGTGCTTGTGTGTCTCCTCTCTGTTGACCTGACTTGACATTTACCTTACTTTAATTCTTGGCAAATTATCTAACTTGCTGTATATATTTGGTAAACATTGGTCAATGGAATGAAATAATTTAAATCACGTTTAAAATTACATGAACTATACTTATAGAAATTGTTATACTTTTCGAGTACCAAATAGGAATGTTGCCACATTATTATTCATGATATTTGAAAAGAATTCTACAGAAGAAATTAAGGTTTACAGGATCTAATTTTGATATATTATTGCCCTAGTAGGACTGAGTGCAGTAGAAAGAGAGCACTAAGAGATATATGCATTTTGATTAGTATTCAATAGGTTATATTTTTCTCAAAGCTGAGACTCAAAAGATTTTCATCCAGAATTTCATTTAAATGTTCTTCTCAAGGGTATTGTCATTGTCAAATAAGTTGTTCCAAATCATTTTCTGGTAGTTTGATTTTAGTTCTGGAATAACTTAACTCTCTATCCTACAGGAGCTAACCAAACGGGAGGTTGAATACATTGCCCTGTCAAGGGACACCACTGAAACTGATCTCAAGCAGCGAAGAGAGATCCGTGCAGGCACGGCTTTTTACATTGATCAGGCAAGTTCTTATTCCACTCCAACCTGTGAATGGTTACTCCATGACTGTATGAAGTTGATTTTTAAAGTAGAAAGTGAGTGGCTCATATAACAGTGAAAGATAGATATACTATGCCCTCTCTAGACAGATTTAATTTAGATTTTAAGTTTTCTCATTCTTGGAAATGTCTCCTTGGTTTTGTACTAAATGAGAAACACTAGATGAAATTAATGGTTCCAAATTGTCAGCTAATGATCAACATGCCAATTTCTTTCTTTTAATTTTTCCCTTTGGTACTAGGGATTGAACCCAGAGGTGCTCAACTACTCAAGCCAAATCTCCATCCCTTTTTTTAATTTTTAGTTTGAGACATGGTCTCACCAAGTTTCTTAGGGCCTTCCTAAGTTGCTGAGGCTCTCCTGTCTCTACCTCTGAGCCACTTGGATTATAGGCATTCATGATAGTTATTTAATTTTCAATTTCTTCCTAGTTTTTACCTATAAATATTTGATTATCTAAAAACAAGAATTAAGGAGATTTTATTATAGGCAATTCACTAGCATACTTATTTAAGTATGAATGAAGGTCAATTGGGTAAAGGTGTATTAGAGGGAATGAAATTAAATATTTACTGCTATGACTTTAGCTTTTCTTGAGGGGTGTCTTAGGTATAGATTGCCAACTAAAATAATCTTCTATTATTATTATAATATTTTATAATATCCTAATATTATAATGATGCTGATTAAATATTTCTCAAATATATTACTTAAAATGTTAAATGTTGTTCTTAGTAATACCTTATAGAAAGTACTGTACAGACTATAAATTATCAATTTGTAGAGAAGTGATTTCAAATATACAATAAATTCATGGAAATATGGTTGAATTTTTTGTTTATAAAAATAAAATTAAAACACTAATGTGCTGCTGTTTTATTTCACCTCTCAAATTGGGGAAGAGCGAAGAATTCACTAAGGTTCAGTGTTGATGAGGAATAAGGGATGAAGAAGCAGCATTGCTGTTGATGGCAACAGAAATCAATGCAGTATTTATTTATTATTTATTTATTTATTTTTATTTCTTACATACATGACGATAGTGGAATACATTACAATCATAATTATCCATTCACAGCACAATTTTTCATATCTCTGTATATAAAGTATGTTCACATCAAATTATGCCATTATACATGAGCTCTCTTTTTTTTTGCTTTACAATTTTTTTTGAAAGAGAGAGAGAAAGAGAGAGAGAGAGAGAGAGAGAGAGAGAGAGAATTTTTTAATATTTATTTTTCAGTTTTCGGTGGACACAACATCTTTATTTTTTATTTTATGTGGAGCTGAGAATCGAACCCAGCGCCCCGTGCATGCCAGGCGAGCACGTTATCACTTGAGCCACATCCCCAGCCCAACATTACAATTCTTAATACACCTTTATACCACAATTTATCATATCTCTGTTTGTATATAAGGTATGTTGACACCAAATTTACATCTTCATACATGTATTTTGTGTAATGATGAGGGTCTCCTTCCACTATCCATGTTATTCTCTTTCTCCCTTCCTTTCCCTTCCACCCCTATTCCCTATCTAGAGGTAATCTTCCTCCCTTGATGTCCCTCCCAACCCAGTTTTGAGTCACCCCCCTTATATCAGAGAAGAATTGATTTTATTTTTTTAAAACATGACAGCAGAATGCATTACAATTCTTATTACACATATAAAGCACAGTTTTTCATATCTTTGTATATAAAGAATCTCACGCCAATTCTTGTCTTTGTTTTTTTTGCATTACAATTCTTATTACACATATATACCACAATTTTTCATATCTCTGTTTGTATATAAAGTTGGTTGACACCCAATTTGTGTCTTCATACATGTACTTTCAATAATGTTGTTCATAACATTCCACCATCCTTGCTAATCCCCTGCCTCTTCCCTTTCCCTCCCTCCCCTCTTCCCTATCTAGAATTAATCTATGACTCCCATGTTCCCACTCCCTACCCCACTATGAGTCAGCCTCCTTATATCAGAGAAAACATTCAGCATTTGTTTTTTTTGGTATTGGCTAACTTCACTTAGCATTATCTTCTCCAACGCCATCCATTTACCTGCAAATGCCTTGATTTTTATTCTCTTTTATTGCTGAGTAAAATTCTATTGTTTATATGGGCCACATTTTTTTTATCCATTCATCCACTGAAGGGCATCTAGGTTGGCTCCAAGTTGAGCTATTGTGAATTGTGCTGCTATAAACATTGATGTGGCTGTGTCCCTGTAGTATGCTGTTTTTAAGTCCTTTGGGTATAGACCAAGGAGTTATTTAGCTTGGTCAAATGGTGGTTACATTCCCAGGTTTCCAAGGAATCTTCCATATTGTTTTCCATATTGGCTGTACCAATTTGCAGTCCCACCAGCAATGTATGAGCGTACCTTTTTCCCCACATCCTTGCCAACACTTATTGTTGTTTGTCTTCATAATAGCTGCCATTCTGACTGGAGTGAGATGATATTTTAGAGTAGTTTTGATTTGCATTTCTCTGATTGCTAGAGATGATGAGCATTTTTTTTATATATTTGTTGATAGATAGTATATCCTTTTCTGAGAAGTGTCTGTTCAGGTCCTTAGGCCATTTGTTGATTGGGTGATTTGTTTTTTCAGTGCAGCTTTTTGAGTTCTTTATATACCCTAGAGATTAGTGCTCTATCTGATGTATGAGGGGTAAAAATTAGCTCCTATGTTGGCTGTCTCTTCACCTCACAGTTTGTTTCTTTTGCTGATAAGAAACTTTTTAGTTTGATTCCATCCCATTTATTGATTCTTGGTTTTAATTCTTACGCTATAGGAGTCTTATTAAGAAAGTTGGGGCCTAATCCCACATGATGAAGATTAGGGCCTACTTTTTATTCTGTTAGATGCAGAGTCTCTGGTTTAATTCCTAGGTCCTTGATCCATTTTGAGTTAAGTTTTGTGCATGGTGAGAGATATGGGTTTAATTTCATTTTGTTGCATATGGATTTCCAGTTTTCCCAGCACCATAGTTGAAGATGCTATCTTTTCTCCAGTGCATGTTTTGGGCCCCTTTGTCTAATATAAGATAATTATAATTTTGTGGGTTAGTCTCTGTATCCTTTCTTCTTAGCGTAGAGAGCCTTCTGTACCATTGGTCTACCAGTATGTTTTGGTGCCAATTCCATGCTGTTATTGTTAATATAGGTCTGTAGTATAATTTAAGTTCTGGTATAGTGATGCCACCTGCTTCACTCTTCCTAGTAAAGATTGCTTTAGCTATTTTGGGTCTCTTATTGTTCCAAACGAATTTCATGATTGCGTTTTCAATTTCTATGAGGATTGCCATTGGGATTTTGATCGGAATTGCATTAAATCTGTATAGTGCTTTTGGTAGTATGGTCATTTTGATAATATTAATCCTGCCTATCCAAGAGCAAGGTAGATCTTTTCATCTTCTAAGGTCTTCTTTGATTTCTGTCTTTAGGGTTCTGTAGTTTTCACTGTGTAGATCTTTCACCTCTTTTGTTAAATTGATTCCCAAGTATCTTATTTTTTTTGAAGTTATTGTGAATGGGGTAGTTTTTCTCATTTTCTTTTCAGAGGCTTTGTCCCTAATATGCAGAAATGCCTTTGATTTATGGGTGTTGATTTTATATCCTTCTACTTTGCTGAATTCATTTACTATTTATAGAAGTTTTCTGGTGGAGTTTTTTGGGTCTTCTAGGTATAGAATCATATTGTCAGCAAATAGTGCTAATTTAAGTTCTTCTTTCCTATCCCTTTGATTTCTTTTGTCTAACTGCTCTGCTCAGTGTTTCAAGAACTATGTTCAATAGAAGTGGTGAAAGAGGGCATCCCTGTCTTGTTCCAGAGGGAATGCCTTCAATTTTTCTCCATTTAGAATGGTGTTGGCCTGAGGCTTAGCGTAGATAGCCTTTATGATGTTGAGGTATGTTCCTGTTATCCCTAGTTTTTCTAGTGTTTTGAACATAAAGGGATGCTGTATTTTGTCAAATGCTTTTTCTGTGTCTATTGAGATGATCATATGATACTTATCTTTAAGTCCATTGATGTGATGAATTACATTTATTGATGTCCATATGTTGAACCAACTTTGCATCCTTGGGATGAATCCCACTTGGTCATGGTGCACAATCTTTTTGATATGTTTTTGTACTTGATTTGCCAGAATTTTATTGAGAATTTTTATCTATGTTCATTAGATATATTGGTCTGACATTTTCTTTCTTTGATGTGTCTTTGCCTGGTTTTGGGATCAGGGTGATATTGGCTTCATAGAATGAGTTTGGAATTACTGCCTCTTTTTTATTTCCTGAAATAAATTGAAGAATATTTGTATTAGTTCTTCTTTAAAGGTCTTGTAGAACTCAGCTGTGTATCCATCCAGTCCTGGGATTTTCTTGGTTGATAAGCTTTTGATTTCTTCTTCTATTTCCTCACTTGATATTGGTCTGTTTAAATTGTGTATATCTTCCTGACTCAATCTGGACAAATAGTATGACTTAAGAAATTTGCCGATGCCTTCAATTTCTTCTATTTTATTGGAGTATAAGATTTCAAAATAATTTCTAATTATACTCTGTATTTCTGTAGTATCTGTTGTGAGATTACCTTTTTCATCACATATGCTGGCAATTTGAGTTCTCTCTCTCCTTCTCTTAGTTAGCATGGCTAAGGGTCTCTCAATTTTATTTATTTTTCAAAGAACCAACTTTTTTGTTTTGTCAATTGTTTTCCCCATTGTTTCTTTTGTTTTGATTTCATCTCTAATTTTAATTATTTCTTGGCTTCTAGTGCTTTTGCTGCTGATTTGTTCTTCTTTTTCTAGGGCTTTGAGATGTAGTGTGACGTCATTTATTTGTTGACTTTTTCTTCTTTTAAGGAATGAACTCCATGCAATGAATTTTCCTCTTAGTACTGCTTTCATAGTGTCCCAGAGATTGTGATATGTTGTGTCTATGTTCTCATTTACCTCTAA